AGCGAGTTGCTGAGCAAGCCCAAGCCTTGGCACATGCTGAGCATAAAGGGACGGGAACCGTTCATCAGGATGCAATTATGGTTATCCGACGCTCACAACGTCGACCGGTTACAGGCGCTGAAGAACGAGCGCAGGGAGGCGAACAAGAGGCGGCGCAGCAGCGGNGACGCAGCAGTCCACCGAGCTTGGCAGCCCCAAGGAAAGCGTGGTGAAACACGAGCCGGAAGAAACGTGGGATTATTAAATCGGCCGATCGAGATCGAGAGTCTTTGTGTCCGCTGTTTTTTCGTGATATCCGTTTTCGTGAGTTTGGACACGGGAGAACGGTATTTGAAACCGGGTGAGCGAGAGAGAGAGAGAGAGAGAGCGAGCGAGCGAGCGAGCGAGCGAGAGAGAGAGAGAAAGGAAGAAAACATGCCAAAATATAAATGCTGCGATCGAGTTCTATGCGGTCCCGTTCTAGTGCGTGGACTACGGCCTAGTTAAGTTCGTAGAGAGGGGGAAAGAAAAACCAGTCATAGGATTCGACCAGGCCTGGTTGGTCGATTCCTGCCTACCACGAGGGCATTATCAATAGGGAGGCAAATACAAAGTTAGGAATTACGTGAAACAAAAACGAGTAAGAAAAAGAGAGAGATAAGAAATAATAAAATAAAAGACACAGGTCAGTGAAAATATTCGGAAAGAATTTTCCGGAAGACTGACCATTTTGATTGGTCGGAGACCACGTTGCTTATCAAAGAGGAAGACGGAGCTCAATCAAAAAGAAAGAAAGAAAAGGAAAGGGAAAAGAAAGGAACTCTTTTTTTCGTAACAACGCGTTGTTTCTGTGCGAGTTGATGGATCAGAAGTGTGGTGTATGCACAGTTGCTATAAGTTCGGCGTGATTCGTAATCGTTAGAAGACTGTGTGAGACGCGACGACGAGACAGAGCCTGGAGGGGGGGGGGAAGGGAGGGGGGAAGAAGATAATAAATAAAAAAAGGCGTTCGTCGCACATTCACTCGAGAAAAAAAAAAAAGAAAAAAATCCGAAAGAAAAACCCTGGCCGCTTCCGTTTTTTCCTTCGGTGGAATTGTTGGAGGGGGGAGGGTAGTGAAAATAAAATGTCGCGTGAAGGAGAGAGAGAGAGAGAGAGAGAGAGAGAGAGAGAGAGAGAGAGAGAGAGAGAGAGAGAG